GCACGAAGCGGGTTAGCTTGATTGGTCTTGGAAAATCAGCTTCAAATGTAGCAGCCTTTCGAAGTCTAGGTGAGACTGTTGCAGTAGCAGCAAAGGCATCTCAAGCAAGTGATGTTGCTATATCACTTGCCTCTCCGGACGAACACTCTTCGGTATCCAAGCCAAACATTGCCTCAGCCATTGCATCTGGTACTCGTTTGTTCTTAGCATATGGATAAGTGAACCGTTTGTTGTCCTACACGACACTGAATTCTCTCTGTTGCTTGAATGGATTACAGGGACTATACTTGGGATATTTGAAGACAATAGATACAAATCAGAGTCCAAAAAATCTGTTCTTAAATCTGTGGAAATTATTGGTCTTGGATCTGGACCTGAAGTAGATAAAAAGCTGAAATACGGACAAGATGTCAGTTCCGGGATAGTTCTAGGACGAGAACTCGTAAATTCACCTGCAAATGTTCTTACCCCAGGTTCGCTTCTAAGTTTTATGCTTTTAGAATCCATCTATTACTCTCCTGCTACTGGTGGACCATTTGGTATCACATGTTTTTCAATTTTCCGTTCGCATGAAATACAATTTCTTAGATTTTTGTATCTATCTCCTAAGGCAAGTGTTTGATTTTCAAATTGATATAACATGTCATAGCGTTTATTTCATGATTGATGCCATGTATGATACTAACTTTGTAATTACATCCACAATTAGGTGCACTGGCAGCAGAGGCTACAAAGATTGCATCAACCTACAGCGATGTTCTTTCTGCTACCATTTTAAATGAAGAGCAATGCAAAGAATTGAATATGGGCTCCTATCTTGGCGTTGCTGCAGCCTCCGCAAATCCCCCTCATTTTATCCACTTGTGTTACAAACCTCCCACTGGACCAGTATCGACCAAATTGGGTTTGGTAGGGAAAGGATTAACCTTCGACAGGTGCTTATACATCTGCCCGGATGCCAACTTTCCTTAGTAAACGCTGAATGAAATAAGAAATGAATGTGTTTTTAACTTTGATCCAAACAATCTAAAGTTAATATAAGGTTTTATTTATGATCTTAGTCGACACGGATGGTTGGGTAACAATTTGTTTTTTTTTCTTTGTATTAGTGGTGGCTATAACATTAAAACGGGACCTGGATGTTCAATTGAAATAATGAAAACTGACATGGGAGGTTCAGCCGCAGTTCTTGGTGCAGCAAAAGCCATTGGCCAAATCAAGCCTCTTGGAGTGGAGGTAAAACATTTGAACTTTTCATGCCCTTAATGTCGATAAAATATTAATCGTGCTAATAAGTTTTATGAGCTTGTTTTCCTATTTTTCTTGTTTTGAAACAGGTTCATTTCGTTATTGCTGCCTGTGAGAACATGATTAGTGGAACTGGCATGAGACCTGGAGATATTATCACAGCTTCGAACGGAAAGACAATTGAGGTATATCTTATTTGTCTGATTGACTCATGAAAATGATCTTTGGGCTATAAGCATTGTGATCATTTCCGTTTGCATCGAGTTTAGACCAAAATTTTTGTCATTTAGATGACATAGACTGTGGCTGAGCCGAACTTCACTGCTATATCGATTCTGTGGGGATGAATAAGAAAGTCTTGAAAGTTTGATTGTAATGGTATCGATTCTTTGGGAATGTCCCGCTTAGTTAACAAATATCAAGTTTGGAGTCGGGGCAGCATGGAAACGAGACGAGGGAAGTTCAGCTGATGAGAATAGGTTCAGGCTCTGGACGGCCATTTTATTTAGTATTTTTTTATAGCACCCTGTTAAGCGTTAGAGAAATTCCAGTCTTAAGCAGCCAATTTTTTCCTATTATAGTCGTCATTGGTTTATTATTCCATTATTTATTCCGGGGCTCGTTTAGAATAAACGCCAATGACAATTCAATTTAGGTGGAAAATATAGGTAATGGATCTGCTTGCTTTCGAATACCGATGTTTTTTTGTACCTTTTCTGGATACCTGCCTTGTGATGTCAAAATTTATCCTCCCTTTCTCTGGGACAATGGAAAGCCTTTGTTGAGTAATGGGAAGTGGGCTAGTCCTCCGTACATCAGTTTATTGACCTCTATTTTGGTCAATGTTCAGGTTAATAACACTGATGCTGAAGGTAGACTTACTCTTGCCGATGCTTTGGTATATACTTGTAAGCAGGGTGTTGACAAGGTATATATGTTAATACATTAAATTTTGATTATATATGTTAATAAATTGTGTGATTACTAATTGTTTCGGAAATTGGGTTCTCTTCTAATGGAACATTAAATTGATTTGCAGGTAATCGACTTGGCTACTTTAACTGGTGCCTGTATAGTTGCGCTCGGTCCATCGATTGCAGGTATGATGATCTTCGGGCATCTTATGCTATATAGTTGACAAGAATATGACATTAGTTTTCTCATGAGTTGTTAATATTTGTGCCAAAGATTGGGAGAAAAAGGAGTCAAATCTTTTTGTTTTTTTCTCCCCCCTCGAAAACTTGGCTTTAAAATTTGAGGCTATAGAAATCACCATGGTTGACTTAGTGGTCGGTAAGAGCCACATAAATAATAAAGAGCTTAAAGGGAATGGGTCCACGCTTGAAAGCCATGTTGACGACCAACATAGGAGTTTATATCCTATGTGTATATCTAGACAACTAAATGTAGTAGGGTCAAATGGTTGTCTTCTGAAAATAGTTGTGAAGTGCACACAAGCTAGCTCGGACAAACATGGATATAGAAATAAGGAGTCAAACTGTCGAACTGAACGGGTCAATTATTCTTAGAAGACAACCATCTAACCCTACTACATTTGGTTACTAAGATATAGAAAATAAGGAGTCAAATTGTCGAATTGAACGGGTCAAGTACCCCCCCAATAGTTGTGGGGTGCAAACAAGCTAGCTCTGACAAACATGGATATATTCAAACTGAACGGGTCAAGTGGCAGCCCCCCTCCCCAGGTTGAAATAGGAACTTATTTCAATTACACAAGGATCAACAGGCTTGTATGATATCTAATATGAGTAATACGCTGAAACACTATTCTCATTGGTTTGATTTAAGATGCAATATTACTACCTTTGATAAAATTTATTCACTTCAGAAGGATGGTTGTTGTTTAGTCAATGATGTTAGTAGTAATCACTCGGTTCGTGTGAAATAAAATGTTTATCGACGATATGGAATTCCCTTTTGTTTCCAGGTATCTTTACACCCAGTGATGACCTGGCAAAAGAGGTATTGGCTGCTTCAGAAGCCAGTGGTGAGAAGCTTTGGAGAATGCCATTGGAGGACAGTTATTGGGAATCAATGAAGTCAAGTGTGGCCGACATGCTCAATACCGGTGGTCGCCCAGGTGGTGCCATTACAGCTGCTCTGTTTCTAAAACAGGTAAATTTCATTTTCTTCGTGCTTTCATCGATCGTTTATGTTTATACAAACCAAATAATGTCTCATCTAGCTTTAGGAAACCTGCTATGTCTCTGCAGATGAGATTATCCTCTAATAGTAGTTTGACTCCGCTTGCTTCTGACTCCCTATGAACTGTTCTATGGTTTAGAAGACTTACATTTGAAAATATATTTTCTGTAGTTTGTTGATGAGAAGGTCCAATGGATGCACATTGACGTTGCTGGCCCCGTCTTCAGTGACAAGAAGCGCACAGCAACAGGGTTCGGTGTCGCCACGCTAGTCGAGTGGGTTCTCAAGAATGCTTCTTAAGCAGCAAAGGTCGATTGGTCGAATCTCAACGGTGCTCTACTGTGGATTCTTGTAGTTTTCATGGGTTGGCAGCACTGTGAGATGAAGCTGAATAAAAAGGTTATGAGCAGCATTTGTGGTTTTATTTATGTTTTTTTTACTGGTTCGAGGCTTGTTCATCGTTTCTTAGCTGAGTTGGTGAATGTTTCATATGATATACAAGCTAGTATCCGAAAGTTTACTTTCTTTTTTTACTGAGTAGTCCTCTCTCTCTGGTCTTGGGTTAAGATGAACTTTTACAAGGCTTTTCAGTGGTGAATAAGGGGAGATTAGTTATGCAAATCAGGATTTACTATCCTCTTTGTAGGGAGGGTGGGTGGGTGTGTTGACATATTTAGGGACTACAATGAAAGTAAATATTGGATCATGGAACCTCGTGCATGTATGTATGTCATGTGCAGCGGGATACTCCTCCTATGCTAGTATGAACGCATATCTTCAATATTTATGTTTGCTGCGATATCATGCGGGCTTTTCTTTTTCTGTAGCATTTGGTGACGTGTAATGCATTTGGTCCGACTAAGTCAGGTTGAGGGAGTATGCATATGAGCTCGCCTGGTTGGTTCATTTGCACACGTCGTGTGTGGAGAAGTACTTTACATTAATCATGCCTGTCATGCCTGAAACTGTAAAGAGCTTAAGGTCATGTCACGGTTTTAAAAGATAAGTCTTATATTATGTTATTATATTATGTAAGAAGGTAATAGTGGGCAAAGAAAATCACCACTTAAATAACACACTAAATTGAAATTTCCTTCTCTCGAGTCATGTGAAGTTCAATTAAACATTAGTTTAACGACTAATAATTGGAGTGATTGACTGCAACCCTCAATAAAATATTAGTTAAATTTAAAAAGAAATATAATATATATATATTATTGGGTCCATTAATAAATATTAAATAGAAAGTAATTATGAGGAATTATATTGGAATATTTGTTATAAATAAATATACTGAAAATATTTAATTTTATAAATGGGAAAATATAAATATTTGTCTTCTATTCTATTGACTCACGTAAGTATCATATTTGACTTTTTATTATAGATAAATATCTCGTATCTATTTATTACTTGTAATTTATTTGATTTTATAGATTATTATAAATGGTCTTCCGAATTATCTTCTCATCTTCTTCCTTTCAGCACTCTAATCCATATGATCACCATCAAACTTTTTTCCTCCAATTATCTTTTTTGAAAAAGTCTAACTTCTCCCTCTTCTTGAGAGTCAAGACATGCTGGGTTATGTTGATGGAACTATTGTTTCACCATCTCGCTTTGAACCAGAAACCTCCTCAACACTCAACACCAAATATTTGATGTGGAAAGCAGCTGATCAACGACTTCTTTGTCTCCTGCTCTTCTCTCTCATCGAGGAAGCCATTGTTGTCGTCGTTGGTCTCTCTACTGCACGTGATGTTTGGCTCACGTTGGAGACTACGTTCAGCCATCATTCGAAAGCTAGTGAATTGATATTCAAGAATGACTTGCAACTAATGAAACGCGACACCAAACTTGCTGGTGAGTATGCTCATACCTTCAAAACAATTTATGACCAACTTCATGCCATTGGCAAACCCGTGAGAACATTGATAAAGTGCATTAGTTTCTTCATGGACTCAGAACCGATTTTTCAACTTTTTCTACCACTTAGATGCCTCTCACCCATCTCCCATGTTTTGAGTTGTTTCAGCGCTCCCTTAAGTCTTCTGACTCAACTCCTACGACATTCACAACCACTAATCGTGATCGCACCCATGGAAGTCACACTGCTTCCTTTAGCCACCAACGAGATCGTTCTCATTCACATAACAACTCTTTCAATCGAGGATGAACCCACTCTGTCCAGGGTCGTCGACCACCTCGCTGCCAAATATGTCGCATGGAGGGCCATTATGCTGACCGCTGCTGCAACCAACGATACGTTCGGCCTGATTTTTCTCATGCTTACATTGCAATAGCCTTCAACACTTCCTGTTCTATTGCTGGACCCGAGGCTGCTCATTGGTTTTTGGACACTGAAGCTTCAGCCCATATGACTACCGATCCATCTATTTTGGATCAGTAAAAAAATTACACATGTAAGAACTCTGTGATTGTAGGAAATGATGCATCCCTACCCATTACCCATACTCGTACTCTTTCTCCTGTTCCAAATATTCACTTATTAGATGTCTCAGTTATCCCTCATCTCACTAAAATTCTTCTTTCAATTAGTAAATTAACGTTTGATTTTTCTCTCCGTTACCTTTACTAATAATTTTCTTACTATCCAGAATCGTCAAATAGGAAGGGTGGTGGCAACCGCTAAAAAGGATTGAGGGCTATATGTGTCGGAGCATGTCAACTTTGCTTTCATTTTTGTCTTTAGAAACAAATCTTTTTGTGTTTCATATGATTTATGGCATGCTAGTCTGGATGATGTGAATCATTCTGCTATTTTTTTTTTTTTAAAAAAAATAAAAAGGTCACCTTTTTCTTACATTTGTCTTCTTCATCATTACGTAGTACCTGTCAGTTTGTGAAAAGTCATCGATTACCTTATTCCCGCAATGTACGTACGTAGTCCCATGTGTTAGATCTTATTCAACTTCAATTCGGATTTTCTTTACTATGTTATTTTTATTGATGATTATTCCCGATTCACTAGGCTTTACCCTTCAAAATTAAAATTTAAAATTCTGCTCGTATCAAGGTTTTTTAAACTAATGGAGGTGTGGACTCCTCTACGACTACTCTCCGTATTATAAAAATTTTCATCTCTTTAGTTGTATTTATCCTTGCTTGCTTGATTATATTCCGAACAAACTTTCTCCCGCACCATTCCTTACATTTTCTTAGGTTATAGTCCCTCTCATAAAGGGTTTCATCTGGATACCACCACCACTAAGCTATACATGACACGCCATGCTCAATTTGATGAAACTCATTTTCCTACTGTCCTAGCTCCCAAACCCTACCTATTTCCTCCTTCCCATTTCAAATTTCTTGAAACCACATCTTTACCATGCATTTGAACTGTAGGCAACCATATATTTGCCAATATTTGACTTCTTCTTATAGACAAATATATGGTTGACCATATGTATCATATTTCACCCTTTATTATAAACAAATATATTGAGGATATTTAGTCTTCTACTATAGTTTATTATAGGTGTCATATTTGACAATTTATTACAAGCAAATATTTCCATTACGGCTGAACATAGGTATCATGTTTACTCTTTTGTTATAGACAAATATCTTTTATCCATTTATTATTTTTTCCATATCCTTTGTAATTTATTTGATTCAGTAAATAATTATAAACGGAGAAATAAAAAGGATAAAAGCTAATTTTAGAAATAATGCAATCGGTATACAGAAACCAAAAGAGAGATGAGAAATTGAAAAAGAATAAGAGGTAAATAAAACGTGGTTCCAAGGGACCCACTTGAGCACGCGGTAGAGAGATTTCTACCAATTAACTAAACCTTAAACCCTAAACCCGTTCCTGTCCTACCCTGTTTTCAATATTGAACCATCAACTAATTTTGTTGCAACATTCTCAAATAATTTTTCGAGAGGAGAAAATGATGAAGAAGAGAGACGAGAAACGAGAGCGGAGAGGAACACTACAAGGACATGGACCACAAGGCAATCCTCCAAAATCTTTCTCTTAGGAATAAGTGCTTTGATATGAAAGGAACAAGAAAAAGGTTGAAGTCAAATAAATAGGATATGAGGAGACGGTGTGCCAACAAGGACGCTGGACCCCGAAAGAGGTGGAATCGGGTCCCACATCGATTAGGGAAGAGGACGAGTGTCAGTGAGGATACGGGACCTCGAAGAAGGATGGATTGTGAGATCCCACCTCGATTGGGGAGGAGAACGAACATGGGACCTCGAAGGAGAGTGAATTGTGAGATCCCACGTCGGTTGGGAAGAAGAACGAAATACCATTTATAAGGGTGTGAAAACCTCTTTCTAGTAAACACGTTTTAAAACCTTAAAATGAAGGTTGGAGAGGAGAACGAAACACCATTTATAAGGGTGTGAAAACCTCTTCCTAACAAACGCGTTTTTAAATCTTAAAACAAGCTAAAAATGAAAGTCCAAAGAGACAATATCTGCTCTCGGTGAATATGGACCATTACAAATTTCATTAGTATAAGTGATTTTTTATTATCTTCTTCTTATTTAAAAAAATCACGCTCTAATAATTATGAATCACTCTTGAAGGATCTAAATTGATTCATTGAAATCGGGTAGTAATTCGAAAAAACACATTATTTTACAATTAACCTAAGATAATACATACTTTGGAATCTTTTAATAAGAACTTGAAAAATATTAAAAGGGCTAAACTATATTATTGTAACACTATATTTTGACCCTTTGAAAGAATGTAAACAACACAACATATTCAGCAATGATTTCAAGAACATTTTTCTTCTTTTTTTACAAGTTGCAAACTACAAACACATCTATTTTTACACTAGTTTAGCTCATCTCATCAAACATGAGTCATATTGTAATGCATTCAGTTTTTTTTGTCACAATACATAACACATCAATCGGCATCATCTGCGCTAAAATCGGGCTCGGGAGGCTTCTGCAATTTTATCAACTCCTGAGCGCTCTTTGCGTTGCGATATCGCTGAACGCCTCGGAGAGCATTGGCAGCAAATTTAGAAGCTAGGAAAGTTGCACGAATACTGTAAGAGCCTCCTCCGCTTGTGGTCGTCGTTTGAGATGTCTTGGATTCCTCCGCTGCAACTTCTTCCTTTTGACGAAGTTCCATAGTCTTTCTCTTGGAGTATCGGCGCCATGCTGCTTGGATGAAGCAAGCAGCCCAGGTCCTCCATTGCTGCGAGTAGAATCGAAAGGTATGTTGCACCTGTCTACTGTGAAGGCGCCTGAACTGACTGGCTACGAATTTCAACTCTTCAGCAACAAGCGCGAAAGCCTCAACCTCTGTAATAGCCTTTACCGTCCTTGTCGAAGATGGAAGATTCGAACCAGATTTCGGGTCAAGAGCCCAAGTCAAAAGCTCTTCACCACAAAAATCACCTTCTTTCAGAAAGGTACGATTGAAAAATCCGCTCCGCCCACCATCGGTAGTCACACTCTCGAGCCGACCACGTATAATGAAAAGCATCTCATCGACTGGATCACCCTCACGGACTATGTAAGTGTACTCTGTAAACAAACACGGTTTTAGCCGCTCACAAATAGCATCAAGCAGCCTCTCATCCATGCTTTCAAACAGAGGAACCTGAAAATCATCAGCGAATATGAAAATGTAAACAAAAAAAATCCTAGGATCATGAATCAACATACTATACATATGGAATTTTCAAAAGAAAATCAGTTCCGTCCATTTGTCAACTTGAGTTTAGCTCAATTGATTTAAGCAGGTATCATAAAACATGAGGTCAGAAGTTTAAAGCCTCTTATTCATGTTGTTGCATTGGAACGATAAAAGGTAACGATGCAAAGCAATAACCTTACCCTTCTTACTAAAGCGAGACAAAGATGTCGCTTAATATCTCTCCTAAGATCCTTAGGGAGAGTTTGAACCAAACTCTGTTCGTCGACTCCGCGGGTCTCCAACCACTTGTACTGATCATATCGCCTGACTCTCTCTCGAAGTTCCTGTGGCAGCAAACGATGATGCATCCATTGCTCCGAATCACGCTTTTTCACCCTCATTTCCTCAAGCCTTATGGTTAGAGATTGAAGATAAGTCTGTCATAATAACATAACATCAGTTTTCTAACGTCTACATGACAAGGCTAAATCGACATGTCGAAGGAAGTCAATACGTCCCCCATAATTTGCAAATTGAGGTTAATACAAAGATCCGCAATCGTCTTAAATTAAAAATGACACAGACAAGGAACTCCATCTAAATAATAGAAAAGACAAACTTCACAGATTCTTCCACATACCTAGCCATATCGTAAAAAATCCTATTTCCATTTCGGCCAAACCGCACAAAAGGTTAGGTCGAGTTGCATCGGCTCACAAAATATTAACAGAAGCCATAATATTGCATTAGCTCACAAAATATAAACAGTAACCACAAAGTAAAGTTCGCAACTAAACTAATTAAACGACCATGTGAGAATGAACAGATCATTATAGTTTGAAGTGCCAGCCATGGAGGTAAAGTTTAATGAGAGTTCAGTGAAGATGAAAATGATTCAAAATGTTCAAAAATTGCAACTCAATAATCGACCTAGCAAACAACATCAAATAGATAGAATGAAGCAATATTCTTGGCAGCAAGTTATTCTGGAACTAGAAAGTCGAAAACTCCTCGATAAACTTCGGATGTTTGGGCTTTAATCCTACTTTTTGAGCCACATTCTGTAGTCTTGAGTTGCTCAGTTCGTAAGCACTTTCCGATTATTCTACCCAATTTAGTTTTAGATTCAGTAGAATAATCTACACGTTCGATCTATGAATGACCGTCCCAAGCATTAGATGGACATCACAAGCCAATGTTACTCAAATCTTTATTATACAAAGCTCTCAACAATAACATAATCTAGGAAAAGAAAATAAAAATTTGAACCACAAACCCAGAAGTTATTTAATTCGAAGTATGGTGTTACCTGCATGTTGCCAATAAGAAGTGCAAAGAGGATGAGACCAAGTACAGCCAATGCTATAGAAAAGATCACTTCAGCCGGATACGTGCTTGTTTGAAGCCCCTGCCCAAGCGTACTGCCAAGAAATTAAATAAAAATAAAAAGGATTGATGTCAAAAACTTGGGCACGTAAGGCTGTGCACCTTCAAGTGTAATCATCATTTTCATGCAATTTACTGCATCATTTTCGACCTTGGTCCAGTGGAAAGAGATAATCAAAGGTATAGTTATGAATCGTATGAACTACAATGTGCATTTTCTAGCATTTTTTTTTTCTTTTTTCTTTTTAATGTAGAAACCACGTTTTTATTGGGAAAAAAAAAAAAAAAAAAAGGTCCCACAAAAGAACATTCCAAAAATTACATGAAGGGAGTCCAATCCAACAAAATCAAGCCAAATTATAATTACAAAAAGGCCTAGTGACAAACACCCACTGTGAGATCCCACATCGATTGGGGAGGAGAACGAAACACCCTTTATAAGGGTGTAGAAACCTCTCCCTAGTAGATGCGTTTTAAAAACTTTGAAGGGAAGCCCGAAAGGGAAAGCCCAAAGAAGACAATATCTGCTAGCGGTGGGCTTCGGCCGTTACACCCACAACGAGGCATTAAACCTCACCAACTCCCAAAACACGTCACAAAACCACTCATCTCTCTAAAGATTCTACTACTCCTCTCAAGTCAACCAGCCCCGCCCCCACCTCACAAAACGAGTCCAAGAGAACCTCCCCAATCAACACAAAATAATCCTCATTCCAAACCAAACATAAATTAAAAGAATTCTACTAACCGACCCAAAAGGATTGGACAAACAAGCAACCCCATAAAAGATGATATAAATCCTTGAACTGACGCCTACAAAACTTAAGGCATGTATTACCCTATTTTCTTGCAGATTTAACATTTCGATGAGATTTCTTTATCGGAAAATTAATCATTTTCTAAATAGATTATAAAAAAAAACGTCCTACATGAGAATAATTACAAAAAAACACCTCCAATGGATCAAGAGGGTTGATGAGCTATAGTTACAAAAAGGAGAAGATAGTTCACTCCAAGTTAAAGCAAGAAAAGATGTAGGCTCACTAGATGTATGTAAGGCTTTGTTCACCAACCTAGGTAAACGATGCACAATTTTTTTTCTACGTGAACAAGGATATGACTATGAGGGTGAAAACAGGAAGTACATGCATATGTAGTACAAATTTCCCAGAGATCCATGGCAGATCCAGTCCACTAGCTTGTTTAAATAGGGTAAGACATACCTTAAGTTTTGTAGGCCCCACCATAGACAGTAACAATATTTGCCGACAAAATTCTTGGATGCCGCAATGCCAGAGGACAAAGCCTGTTTAAAGATTCCAAAATCAAACGAATCATTATCATCAGCAGGTTTGCATCTCGACATTAGGGCATCCACACCTGTCTGGTTCCAAGTCGAATAGCCCTCCATGTCTTGGTTACCGCAATATAAGAAATTTTTCCTGCAAGGGGCACTACAATACTTCTGCCAACATGTGTCATTGCGTTCCACAGCTAATAAGTACCACAGTGCTCCAACTATCTGCAATGTTTAAGTCTAAGTAAAAATAAACTCGGTTTGGTTGATATCATTTTAATTTATCATAAATATTATCTTACTTTCATAAAAAATAATGGAAGTATTCAAGTATAAACTATTATTGTTAACTATAGCCTATAGGATTCAATTCTTTTTTTAATTTCTTTAAAAGCCTCCGTCAGAAAAGAATATACAAGAACATACAAAAATACACTAGCTGCACAACGAGAGCCACAACACTAACTAAGAAACAAACACCAATCCAAAACAATAAGACCTAACCAACAATTACAAAGAAGCAAATACATTATCACCCACAATGAAGTATTAAGTCTAACAATACCCCAAAACTCACTCGCAAACCGCTCCACACCCCTGAAATCCTACTATTCCTCTTGAGTCATAACCCCCAATACATAGCAAACACACAAGTCCAACAAATAATTTTGATTTTATCCCAGAAGGGAGGAATCATGAGAATCTTATCAATCAGAAAACAATCACCTCCATTACTCCCCAACAAATTCCAAAGGATGTCCAACAACACTCCCAAGTGACTAAAGAAAACTAACAATCCCTTAAATTTGATCCAGACCCTCTGCTGCAGGACGACACTATAAACACTAAAGGTTTGAGAGAATAAGAATTAGTCCATTCCATTCACTAAAGATATATATATTCACACACACACACAAAAGTGTACAAGGGTAACCTAGGTAAGTGGTGATGTATCAATTCTCCCAGAAGACCTTCCCAATTGTTAAATGAGAAAGATGAGTATATCCTATATCAAATGGAGACTTCCCTGTTGAACAATTGACCATATGCCTGAAAGCAAATTCTGCTTGAGCAAGAGAAAGATCTCATTGTTTCGTCTTTTCATCCCTTAGGAAACGTAGAAGGTTACCAAGAGTATGACTAGTGACTTCAGTTTGACCATCTGTTTGTGGATGGCTAGTCATACTACAAGAATCTGTGCCAATTTTTTTCTAAAGAGAACGCAAAAAATGACTCATGAACTTTACATCTCTATCCGGGACAATGGACTTAAAGGCATCATTAATCTTTTTACAAACAATGAAATGAGCCATTCTACTAAAACAATCAATAGACTAACAGAAAACCAAAGCCTCATTGAGTTCTAGGTAAATCAAGAACAAAAAAATCCTCTCAAATAAAATTAGGAATCAGTAAAGGAGCGTAAATTCCTAGGTTTAGGCTAGAACCTTTGGAAGTTTGACGAACAAAACAACATTTAACAATTACCACACCTTTCTTAATTTAAGGCCAACGGAACTTAGAAGATAGTGCAGCAAAAGTTTTGTCACATCCAAAATGTCAAGCTAATCCGCCAAATGTACTTTTTAAAAATATATTCTCATAAAGGAGTTTGAGGAAGTCAAAGGAAATCGTTTTTAAAGAGGAACCCAATAATTTCACCATGCCATAGAGTTAGAAGAGCATAACCCAACTACAAGTACTGTAGGAAGAGTGCTTCTAGATACAATACAAAGTGAACTTTTCCATGAAGAGCCTACCACGCAAAAATCGTGACCTTCTTTGAAGTGTTAACCTTCAGAGAAAATGTAGAGGCTCTAGGAGGGGGAGGTGGGATACATAACAAAAGGGGGGGGGGGGGGGGGGGGGGG